CTGCAAAAATACAATGCTAATCCAGCTTTCAAGAACTGTCAGACTGACGTCCATTAACAAGCCCTTTAATCAACCCATCAACCAACCAACCAGCCAACTAACCAACCAACCAACCATCCAAACAACCAACCAACCATCCAAACGACCAACCAACCAACCAACCAAACAACCAACCAGCAAGCCAACGAACCAATCTATCAACATACTACACAAGACAGGTAGGTTATAAACGGTTCATAAATAATAGTTATGAACGTTGGTTTCTCTCTCTCTCTCTCTCTCTCACTCTTTCTCTCTCTCTCTCTCTCCCTCTCTCTCTTTCCCATCCACTCTTTTTCTTTCAAGTTACTTCTTTTGATAGGTTTGTTTCTTTTTCACATCGAAAAACTTTTCGCAGACTTTCAAGAAAGCAACTTATATTGTTAAAAAGATGATGGCCGACTTGTTTTCATTTATAATTTCTTCCTTCTATTCATTCATTCATTCGTTCGTTCGTTCGTTAGTTTGTTCATTTGTTCATTCATTCATTCATTTGTTCATTCAGTCATATGTTGTTTTCTTATATCTATCTAACCAAAATTTTTTTTAAATAACTTCATCTACTATTTATTCAGCAACAACACACCTATTCATCCATCCATCCATCCCTCCGTACATTTATCCACCCATCCATCCATCAATCCATCCACCCATCCATCATTCCATCCACCCATCCATCCAGTAAAAGAATGAAACCGACCTGGTGCGATATACGGCAGAGAAGCCCTACGTGGTCGTACCTTATGCAGAGGGCGTTTGAAATGTTGAGGGAGAAAAATGGCGACCAACAGGCCAAGAAAACCACTGGAAGAAAAATAATAAAATTTATTATTATTATTTTTATTATTATTGTTGTTGTTGATATTGTTGTTGTTATTATTATTATTGTTGTTGTCAATATTATTATTATTATTATTGTTGTTGTTGTTGTTTGTGTTATTCAGGCCAAGAGAACCACTAAATCCAAATAAAAAACAGTGGAATGAATGAATGACTGAATGAATGATTGCAAGTTCAATTGAATGAGTGAAATAATTGAGAAGGAATGAGTAAATGAACGAACGAACGAACGAATGAACAAACGAATGAATGAATAAAATGAATGAACGAACGAATAAACGAATGAATGATCGAACGAGTGAACGAATGTTTCTTAAACAAATGAAAACGAATAAGCAGCCGCATTAGCAGTGATTGAAAGATCTGTAATGAATGAAGGATGGGTGAAATTAATTAAGACGGTCAGATGAATAAAAACTTTTTCACCAACTTGAAAAAACACACACATAGATACACACACACACACACACACAGAGATACACACACACACAAATACACACACACATACATACATAGATACATAGCTTGTCATCAGTCGTTAGTTGATTGATACATACATTGCATAACATATTGGGCCCAAAACATTTCTTACATGCTCTCTCCTTTATACAGTTTTGTATGTGTGTGCGTGTGTGTATGGGTGCGTGTGTGTGTGTGTGTGCTTGCGTGTGTGTCAGTGATTTTTGGTTTATGTTTCAGCGTCTATGTCAGTTTTTTGTATGTATATATGGGGATGACTATATTTGGTTGTACGTATGTATGTGTAGGCGTATGTATCTCTATGTGTATTTATGAATGTATATGTGTGTGTGTATGTGTATGAGTGTGTATCTTTATGTATATATCTTTATGTATGTGTGTATGTGAGTGTGTGTGCCCTTAAAAAACTACGAATTCATTTTTCAATTTCCATCTTAAACTTCCAGTTGACTTGCTAAACGGATTTCCGGATTTCCAATCAAATTTAAATTTTTTCAAATTTTCCTTTTTTATTATTATTATTATTATTTAAAATTTATTATTATTATTATTTATTATTATTATCAGTATTATTATTCTTATTTATTATCATTATTATTTCTTTTATTATCTTATGCTTAGACGCTCGCTTGCTTGGACTCATTCCAATTCAATATAACAATTTTATCTTTTACCGAAAGATAGATTGATGACGATGTGAATGAATGAATGAATGAATAGATAAATGAATGAATGAATGAATGAACAAACGAATAAATAAATTGATGAATGGATGAATGAATGGAAAGTACATATATACATATACATACATACACAGATATTAATGAACACATACACGCAGATATTCATACACACAGATATTCATACACACAGATACTCACACACACGCGCACATACACACACACACACACACACACGCACACACACATACTTACACTAAATACAGCATTATTTTCCGCTACATCAAAATTATTATCCAGTTCTTATCATCATCACCATCTGTCACTATTCATCATCTTCATTTCAGTTATCTGTCTCTTTACTTCATTATCGTCAACGTAAAATCTCAACAGTTTTCTCACGCTACACAGCTTATCAACTATTCAACCAAAGAACAAACTTATCAACCAATCAATTAATCAATCGGTCATTTAATCAATCAGTCAGTCAGTCAATCATTCAATTAATCAGTCAATCAATTGATCAATCAGTCAGTCAATCAATCAATCAATCAATCAATCAACCGAAAGACCAACCGACTGGTTTTGATTAACCAGCAAAAAAACAATCAAAAAATCATTCAATCAACCAATCAATCAACCAACTAATTAACCAACAAACTATTCAACCAATCAATAAATCAATCAACAAATCAATCAATCAACCAACCAACCAAGGACAATAGCCAGGGTTCTGATAGCTTTCTGTTCCATTTTTGTTGATCTAGTTAACTTTCGGCAGAGTTTTAAAGACAATCTTTCCAAATTGTCTTCATCGAAAGTCGAAGTCATTCTGAAAAGTTGATGTCTTTTTGTTGCTGTTGTTGTTGTTGTTGTTGTTGCTGTTATTGTTGCTGTTGTTGTTGTTGATGTTGTTGTCGTTGTCGATAATAATGTTGTTGATATAGTTGCAAGTGTTGTTGTTGTTTTTAATGGTAGTGTAAGTATTTTTGTCGATGTTGTTGTGTTTGTTGATGTTGTTGTGTTTGTTGATGGTTTTGTTGGCGTTGTTGCTGTAAACATTGTTGAGGACAATGACGATGAAGTCATAATTTTTGTTGACGGTGACGTCAGCCTCATTGCGGATAATGATGATGATGACGTCATATGTATGTTTGACGTTGATGTCAAATGTTTTGTAAAGATAGCGTTTATGTCGTTGTTATTGTTAATTTGTTGTTGTTGATGATGATGATGATAATGTTGTTGTTGTTGCTGAAAACAATTTTGTTTTAATTTTTGCAGATGTTTCAAGCCATGTGCTTGAGACAAGAATGAAGATGGATCTAATAGTAAACGTGGTTGTTGTTGATGTTTTTGTTGACGTTGTTGTTGTTGCTGTTGATGTTGACGTTGTTGTTGTTGGCGTACTTGTTGTTGCTGATGTTTTCGAAATAGTTGTCGTTGTTTTTGTTGATAGCTTTCAACGGTTTTTTGATTTAAAATGCCACCGGATTCAGCCGTAAAAGTTGCATTAGTAGTCGAGACAGTAATATTAGCGGTGGTAATTGTAGTAACGACTTTGGCGACAGTAACTGCTGAAGTTTCATTAGCCGTAGCCGTAGCAAAAACAGCAACAGCAGTAGAAGCACTAGCAGCAGCTGTGGTAGCAGTAACACATTTGGAGCCACCACAACTACCACCACAGCCACCGCCAACATCACTACCAAAAACGTGGCGACATCGGCGACAGCTTCTACTACCACCACCACCACCACAAATCATACAAGCGCTAACGTATTTATACTCCATCAACCTATTAGTTCTTCTCTTTAACGTGTGGAATATTTTAAAGTAAAGAATCAGCATCAGCGCGCACGGAATATAGAACGAACAGACAGACGAGTAGATCAAAAAGTCTGAGTTATAAAAAGCGCAAATCATTGGAGTCTGGTAGCGAAGGGAGGTGTAGTTCATGCCGAGAGCGATTGGGGACGAGATGGCGATGGAAACTAGCCAGGTACCCACGAGAACTAGGTAGGCCCTATGCGTGTTTTTGTGTTTGAGGTACTGAAGGGGTCTGGTTACCGCCAAGTACCTGTAGATGTGATGTGACGTGGCAGGATGATGATGATGATGATGATGATGATGTGATCTCATGTGACGTAATGACGTCATGATGTGGTAGTAATAATGGGAAGTGTGAGACCATAATTACGGATGATGATCTCCATTTGGTGGTGGTTGTATAATAATGATGTGA